AAAAAAAAAAAAAAAAAAAAAAAAAAAAAAAAAAAAAAAAAAAAGACAAAAAGATTCACTTATAAAGTAACATACGAGCACTCAAAATTACTTTTTTTTTAAGAGAAAATTTTTCCTGCGACTTTTGAACATAAGCAAAGTGTGACATTTTGGTTATATTTCACAAGTACATTATCTGTCACAGCTGCTCAATGAAATAATAAATAACCTAAGTTCGCTTGGACATCTGGGAAGGGAAAAATAGAAATAAACTAACAAAGTTCAAACATACCAGATGGATCAAAAGCCGCCGATCAAAAACTCAACAATATACTACAGAAAAGGTGGATGAAAAACAAAGCTGCTAGCAGCGCTCTACTTCTCTTGGGTTTTGATGATGGAAATTTTATAATGTAATACCATCACCAAAAGCCATTAGTTGTCCAAGCACGGTTCTCACACGGAGCTGTAAAGGAGAAGAGACGAGGAATTAAGATAATATAGAGGTGAAAGGGGAGAAGGGGGAAGGGGGAAGTGGGACTTAAATGAGGAAATAGATGACCTTAACATCCAGGCACGGATCATTGACCATATTCTTCATTTGAGAAACAATACCAGCATTCTGTAGCTTTGTAACCCTATCTAGTGCACGTGGACTTGAAGGCAGAGAAAGATTTATTATTACCCAGACAGCAGCTATTCGAAGTTGACTGTTGTCACTCTGCAAAAACTTCACCACAAATGACTGGATCACGTCATCTCCATGTGGAAATAGTTGTTTCATTAGCCTTTCCTTATGGAACTCATTTCCACTTGCAACATTACAAAGTACATACATTCCCTGCATCAGTCATGCTTTAATAATTGCATTGTGATATGGTTTACTTAATAGTTAATTGATATACTCAATACCATAACAACAGATTTTATAGTCGTATAAAATTCCTCAAGTATCATTGAAAATGAATCTGCTGAAACTTAATTGTTTAATAGCCAGACAACATGGACATTATCCATCAGATGATCGAGAACACATGTCATTTATGAAATCATGGTTTCTTTAAAATGCACTTTAACATTTCAGTCAAATATAAGCACCTAAAGAACTTCGCTTTTTTTATTCCTATCATCCTATCAAAGAAATCCACCATCATTCTCAGTCTTCCCATCAATATTGGCTCCCTTAATAAATTTTGGATTCTTCCTTCCACATTTAATATCAGCTTTCTTGATAAGAGTCAGGTAGACATGTAAAAGATAGGTATTCTAGACAAATTCCACAAAACAAAGTGAGGAAAGGTATTGAAACTCCTACGGAAGGAGAGAGTTCATCCTTTGGCAAGTTTTCCCAAGGTCACTTGCTCAACCAATTTCCAGATATTTTAAAATTTTCGGCTTCTATCTATAGAGACAGCCAAGTAAGATATAGATCACAGGCTTAAAGCATAAGCAATCATGTCATTTTCCTTATTCTTTCTTCAGTTAACGTGAAACTTTGAATTGTAACTGACAATTTTCCATTTGTATCTTTGTTTGCTCCTTTTTAAAGAAAAAACGAAAGGAAAATAATATTATTGATGAAGGATATTATATACAAAAGAAAAAACCTCAACAGAATCATAGAGACCAGGTTAAGGGTCCTCATGACCTTAAAAATAGAAATATCTCTCTAGTTTGTTGGTATCTATGTAAAATAGTAACGCAGAGTGTCAGACCTACTTATGAGATCTTTCAGGAGGGAAAACATAAATACTTCGGCGTAGCATGTTTAATCAATTTGTGTGTATTATGCATTTACGTAACATCGTTACTGTATGGTTATTCAACATGGTTGTTGTAGGCCAATTTTAAGCTGAGCTCAGAGTTTCCTAGTAACTAACACCACTTTGTAAAATCGGCCCTTTCAATAGACTGCTTTGCAACCATTTCTTAGCTTTTTCCTCTCCAAAATAAACCTTTCCTTTTGAGCATACATCACATTCAAAAGTTGAAAACAAAACAAAACTAACCTGGACCCCAATTTCATCCCTTGAAATACTTTTCAATTGCCGGCAAATAGTATTCAATATGATACCATCTTCAGCAAACGCGTACTCAATTGAGTCCTCACATCCATTGATAAGATTGCGCACAAGGGCCATAGCATGCTCTTGTATGGAAGGCTCTGGATCTGAAACATAAACATACAAAGCAGTATTGATTAAACACAAGATGAAATCAACCATAAAGATGGACAACAGAGTTCAACAGTACCACAGACAAGGCTGGCTAACAAGGAAGCTGTTAACTCCCTGAAGATCCCTGATTTATACATGCTGTTTGCAAGGAACATTAAATTCCTTAAAGCCCACAATGCATTTAGCCTTATGTCCAAGTCCATAGACTTTGATAATCGAACCAGCTCTTTAACACCTCCACATTCTATAAATATTGATCTCTTTGTTGAAAATTCGACAACTATGTTGCTAAGAGCACCAAGTGCTGCAACCTGTTTAAATAGTATGAAATGATAATTATTGCGCAAAACCAAAAATAACTGAACAACCAAATAACCCCTCTTTCTACCTGACCATTCAATGGCTTAAAAAGTAGGAAGATTCCTACAATTTGAGAACTTGATATATCAAGATAAATAGGTTTACCTGAACAGCATTAGAAGGACTGTGTAAAAGCTGAACAACGGGAAGGACAACTGTTTCGTTCATAAAGTAACCTGCACTCAAATTCTGAGTATGATGCCATTAGAAAACAGGGGAAAGGAAAGACTATGAATATCAGAATAGCTAATAATAATATAGCATTACATACCTTGATTGATCTAGAGACACTTCTCAAGCAAGTGCAAGCTGCAATACGTATGTCACTACTTTCATGTTGTAGGGCATCAATCACTATGTTCATTACCTATGTCATGATTATAAGCAAATTAATAAAAATTCATAAACCTAAGCAAGTTAAATTCCAACAAAATTCAGATTTGTTAACCTCCATCAGTTAGTAGCTTCGTTAAATATCAAAAGGTAAAATAAAGAGAAAATTTTGAGAACCCGCCACAATAATTGTTACCACCACAAATGTGTTACTTCTTCTTCCTCCTTTTCTTTTTTTCCATTTTTTTCCTTTGATTCAATTGGAATGGACCAGCAGATATAGTTTAACCATTTTTTCCTTGGAAAGTTTTGAGGACTTAAAAACAGATGACAGACACATTTGCAAAACAGATACCTTTTTAAAAATCTTTAATAATAAAGATAACTATCAACTTAGGGCAGAAATAACCATAGACAAAAATTCAAATAGACAAACAAACGATTTTAGACATCAATTTAGGTACCTAGCCAATTTGACTTAGTGAAAAACATGACTAACCTCTGGACTAGGAAAACTGCACAAGTTAAATGCATTGTAATTGATAAATGTTACAAAGAAAAAAAAACCAATAAGTTGACTTAACAAAAAAGTTGATGCAATCAGAATAAGAAATAAACCTGCAAAGAGAGAAATCTAGACCTACAGCTCTCCAACTTTGAGCATAGATGAGAAAAGGCCAACAATATTCCTTGGAAACGTCTAGGACTCAACTGATCCTTTTGCAAGTGATTGTACAACTTATCAATTGCATTTGCCTCAAAAGCTAGTTTCTGTAGCTCCTCCTTCTCAGCAATTAAAGTCGAAAAAACGAAGGAAGCTTCATCTCCAACTTGACCTGGATTATCAAGAAGCTCAAGCAAACTATGTATCAATTTCATTTTGATTCCTATATCTTGTAGATAACAAGGTGATGAATTCCTCATAACAATCAAGCAGACGCAAGCTAGCAATCTTGTCTTGGGATTTCTATCCTTCATCAATTCAATTATATAACTCAAACAATCTTCTCTACCAGGTTGCATGAACTTTGCTATTGCTTCGACATTATTTTTAAATATTGTGGCAATAGACTCTAAACTAGCATCCCTTTGACTTAGAGAACCATCAAGAAGATCAATCAGCTTCTCTAGAACTCCACCATTACACAATGCCTTCTGCTCCGCAATTGTGTCACAGGAATGAATAATGATGCTTGCCCCAAGTCCAGTCACATTTTCATTTTGACTATTCAATAATGAAAGAAGAAATTTAGTGTTTTCCTGCTGAAGGAAATCATACTTGGGAGCCAACTTTGATTGATAAACCATCCTTAATGAACGAGCTCCTGCGTCCACAACCTTAAAAACAGAACATATATATATATACCCATCAAAGTTCACATTAGGATTGAAAAGAAAGTTGAAAAAATTGCATACCGAAAATAAAGAAGACAAAAGCAAAAGGTTGTGGACGCAGGTACATAACAAATTCTTGTAAAAACCTAAGGCGTGGTGTATAAAAAGGACGGTCAAATTGGATGTACGGGTTTTGAAAGGAAGAACTCCATTATTGCTTAAATTTGTTTTTCCTTTCAAAAGATGTAGCCATCTACTCTAGACTCTGATTGGTAGTTCAAAAAGAGTACTTAAGGAATATGCTATAACTAATCCAAAAAAGACGATTATAAGTAGAAAAAGGAGCTATTATCCAGTTCCAAGGAGACATTCTTCTTCACTTTTAACAGAGCATTTCTTGTAGTTCGAAGAGGTCATAATAGAGAAGATTAGAAGAAGGGTCGACGCCACAGAAATGCAATTTAAAATCAAACAAAGGAATTTGCATTTGTAACTTAAAATTAAGCGCATAAATGCAAATTTCAATAGAACAATACTAGATACTCTTCCTCAATTTCCCCAGAAATGCACTTCCCAAATTGGAGCAAAACGGATAGAAAGAACAAGAGACGAGAGGAGAGGAGAAGCACCTTGGGATCGGGATCAGCAAGCAATCGAAGCAGTCGAGGGAAGGCTCCGGCATCGAGAACGGCGGAGACACCGGCGTCGACGCCGCAGGCAAAGCTGCCAAGAACAGCAGCGGACTGGACGAGAATGTTGGGGTCGGAAGTGGAGGAGAGAATTGCAGCAACGTGAGGAACAACGCCGAGCTTGATGAAGGACAGCTTCTTGGTGCGGTTACCGATGATCTGGTTCTTGATGTCTCTCAATGCCTTCAGCTTCACGGCGGCGTCGGCGGCAGTCAATCGGCTGACGAGCTCGGAGGAGGGCTTCGGAATCGCAGAAGAAGCTGAGGTCGGCATCGTCCCAGTACCGAGAGAGCTACTGGGATGGGAATGGCATCGAGGCCACAGCAGAGAAAACCCCTCGGAGCTTTGAAAGCTACAAGACAGCCTCCAATGGAGTTCTGAGGAGAAAGGGATTTTCTTTTTCTTCCAATAATTAGAAATATCCCATTTTTTTCATTATAAAATTTTATATTTATTTTTCAGATTTTTTTTTTTCATCTTTTACATTTTCTAAAAAATATATATTCTTTTGAAGAAAAAAAATATATAATAATGTATAACTTATATTAAATATTATAAAATATTCTAATAAATCTAATAATATTTATAGACAAAAATATAATATGATGTTTATATATACGTATATTTATGTTTATATATACGTATATTTATGTTTATATATACGTATATTTATATTTATATATAAAAAGTGAGGTAGGGCAAGGAATAGGTAGGGGCAGTGATGCAGACGAGGAAAAATCACTCCCTACTCTCTTCTTCCTTCACTGTTTAAACGAAATTTTTTTATCTCATTCTAGGTGTGTTACTGTAGGACCCTAGTCTCGCTGATTAAATGGACATTTTCACTCCTTGTTCTCGTCCTCATTCACCGTTTGAACGAAGATTCTCTGTCTCGTTCAAGGTGGGTTACGGTAGGATCCTAGTCTCGTTGGTTAATGGACATTTCATTCCTTGCCCTCGTCCTCATTCATTGTTTAAACGAAAACTCTCTATCTCGTTCAAGGTGTGTTACTGTAGGATCCTGGTCTCGTTGATTAAATGGATATTTCACTCCTTGCCCTCGTCCTCATTCACTGTTTAAATGAAAATTCTCTGCCTCGTTCAAGGTGGGTTACGGTAGGATGTCTCACTGGTTAAATGGACATTTCACTCTCTACTCTCTTCCCCATTTACTGTTTAAATGAAAATTCCCTGCCCCGTTCAAGGTGGGTTATGATAGGACCATGGACATTTCAGTTCAAAACGAAAATCGACAACAATCCATTGGTGGTTAATACCATTTTTTTTTATTAGTACGAGCATTGAGTACGAGCGAATCACCGGTTGAGCTATACTCAATTTGTGGAATATAAATACCCAAACAGACTTGAGTAGATGTAGTTTTGTGAGATTAAAAGACAAGTCCACCGGTTTTGTGAAGGATGAATGGGCGAATGGTAGAGCGATAGCATGCCATTTAGACCTCCAAAACTCTGGATTTCAAGCGCTCAACTATCCCAAATCCACGCCCAACTCCTCACGAATCCAAAGCCCCGCGTTTTCAACCCTTTGCTCGGTGCTTTGGTGGACTCCGTCGCCCCTGAAAATGGCCTCTTCCTCTACAACCAAATGCTTCGACACCCATCTTCCCACAACCACTATACCTTCACTTACGCCCTCAAAGCCTGTTTTCTTCTCCATGAAACCCACAAGGGCCTCGAAATCCATGCCCGTCTCATCAAATCAGGTCACCTTTCTGACATCTTCATCCAAAATTCTTTGCTCCATTTCTACATTGTCGATGGCGATGTTCCTTCTGCTTCTCGAGTCTTTGATTCCATCCCTGACCCAGATGTGGTTTCGTGGACTTCGATCATTTCGGGGCTTTCCAAGCTGGGTTTTAAAGAGGAAGCTCTGGGTAAGTTCTTGTCCATGAATGTGAGCCCTAATTCTGCTACTCTTGTTAGTGCTTTATCTGCTTGTTCTAGTCTAAGGTGTGTTAAGATTGGAAAAGCCATACATGGGCTAAAATTGCGGAGTTTGAATGAGGAAAGTGTTAATTTGGACAATGCCCTTCTGGATTTTTACGTTAGATGTGGGTCTTTGAGGGGTGCGCAGAACCTGTTCGACGAAATGCCTCAAAGAGATGTAGTGTCTTGGACTACGTTAATCGGAGGTTATGCACTGACAGGATTATGTGAAGAGGCTGTGAGGGTATTCCAAAACATGGTTCATGCGAGAGAGGCCATACCCAATGAGGCCACTCTAATCAATGTACTATCTGCATGTTCTTCCATGTCTGCTCTGCATTTGGGTCAATGGGTACATTCATATATCAACTCTAGGCACGACGTGATAATTGATGGAAACATTGGAAATGCTTTGATTAACATGTATGTAAAATGTGGCAGCATGGATAAGGCAATTTCAATCTTCAAAACTGTTGAACACAAGGATATCATATCATGGAGCACAATCATAAGTGGGTTAGCCATGAATGGCCAAGGCAAGCAAGCTTTTGGTCTCTTTTCACTCATGCTAGTTCATGGCATTACTCCAGATGCCATAACATTTCTCAGCTTGTTATCTGCATGCAGCCATGGTGGGTTGATCAATCAAGGCTTGATGGTGTTTGAAGCCATGAAAGACGTTTACAATGTTGCACCTGAGATGAGGCATTATGCTTGCATGGTGGACATGTATGGGAAGGCTGGGCTTTTAGATGAAGCAGAGGCGTTCATAAAGGAGATGCCTGTGGAAGCAGAAGGGCCAGTATGGGGAGCGCTGCTTCATGCTTGTCAACTCCATGGGAATGAGAGGTATGAGAAAGTTAGGCAATGGCTGCTTAGCAGCAAGAGCATTACAGTGGGAACTTATGCTTTGTTATCGAATACTTATGCTAGTTGTGATAGATGGAATGATGCTAATGAAGTTCGAGACGCCATGAGAAGTAGAGGACTGAAGAAAATGGCTGGTTGTAGCTGGATTGAATTGGCTGATCCCTTGAATCCATTGGGTTGAATGTGGGAGAGTCAAGAAAAATGGGGTAAGATGTTTGGAAAGTTCATGCTTTTTGGTTAAGTGTTGCATATTTCATCGTGCATAGAGTTTGTTGGATGATGAAAGTCCCACATCGGCTAATTTAGGGAATGATCGTGAGTTTATAATCAAGGAATACTCCCTCCATTGGCATGAGGCCTTTTGGGGAAGCTCAAAACAAAGTCACGAGAGCTTATACTCAAAGTGGACAATATCATACCATCGTGGAGAGTCGTGTTCGTCTAACATGGTATCAGAGCCATGCCCTAAACTTAGTCATGCCAATAGATTGGTAAATCTTCAAATATCGAACAAAAGACTCCAAAAGAAAAGGAGTCAAGCCTCCTCAAAGGCAGTAAAAAATGACTAAGACTCCACGAAGCACACTTTGTTCGTGTTGGATGATGAAAGTCCCACATCAGCTAATTTAGGGAATGATCGTGGATTTATAATCAATGAATACTCTCTCCGTTGACATGAGGCCTTTTGGGGAAGTCCAAAATAAAGCCATGAGAACTTATGCTCAAAGTGGACAATATCATACCATTATGGAGAGTCGTGTTCGTCTAATAGAGTTGATATCATATTTATACGTTCGTGTATACCATTTATATTTACAATTTTTTGTTATTTCATATTTTTATCTTTATTTTACTAAAAATGACGATGATAGGATTGCTTTGAAATAATGTTAATGTTTAAGAGTAGAAATGAAGATTTTGAAAATTAGGTATCATTAAAACTTACACTAAAGTTTACCTATATATATATATATATATATATATATATATATGTTATATTATATAGTTTGAATAAAGTAACATGATTTCACAATTGTATGTATAGAAAACATTAATGAATGGCTGGATATTTAGATGGAAAATTACATATATTTTTTACATGATTTTATATAAATATTTCAAAAGAATGTGTGATAATGAATGACTGGTATTTTTGTAATACAAAAGTCCTAAGAGTATTTTTAAAATAAAGTATTCAATATTTTCATTTAAAATTAATGATGAACGGAATATTTAAACTGATTCAAAAGTTTAAGAATCCAAGTTTTCTAAGAAGATCTTGCAGGGACCATTCACTCAAACGTGGCATCATCTACTCTTGTGAATAACACCTTTTGAATCCTTTCACCATTGTATCTTATGCTCCCCTTTTTCGAGTCCAAAGCCATTTGAATTTGAAAGCAATCAAAACAAAAAGTAAATTTTTGGATACATCTTAAATTATTTGATTAAGATCTTTTTTTTCTTCCAAATAAATGGTTGAATTTATGTTGTATTTAAAAAGAATTTTAAAAGTTTAAACCTTTTCTTAATCTATAAACTAACTTTCTTATCATTCATATTAAAATCTCACTCCCAAGCAAGTTTCATTACTAAGGAAAAAAAAAGTTAGCAAAGTACAATTTTAGGTGAATTATCAATTTCATTAAGTAGAATTGGTACATTAATAACTCATTTATGACCCTTTTCTCGAGTAAAATATTAAAAATTTGTACTTAAAAAAGAGGATCTTAGAAATGTTTTTCATTTGTAAATTGCGTTTTCACAAAGAAATTAAGTTAGTAATGATTATTGGTGCAAGAAAATCACTAAACCACAATAAGGAAGTCATCCATAACATGACATGGGATTTTTCTAGTAAAATTTCCCTTTTTTTTGATCTAATTTAATAATTTTTTAGTGGGAAAGGTCGAATTTCAGTGTCAGCATTGAAGAGGCCGAGTTTATCCTTTTCGTCGATTGCTCTGGCGTGAATGTTTCCACTGCATCCACCTCGTTTTATTCGTTGTTAATGATTACTGGTAAGAGTTTTATGGACAGCTGAACGTTCCATGTGAGCAAACGCGAACAGACGGATATGTTCTTAGTGTTTCATTTCAGGTTTGATTCTTATCGATTTTGGGCTCGTGGGTATTGGGGTGTTCTTCTTGTTGTTTCATTTTGATCATTGATTTGCTTTCTCAGCTGCTCTTGGGTCTGAGAATTTGATCGTGTTCTGAGCTCCGGCGAGTTTTTAGCGACCCAGATGGGATCTTTGAAGAGTGAAAAGGATATTGAACAGGTTGGGGAGGATTCGAAGGAGGCTATCGTTTATGTTAATGGGGTCCGGAGAGTTCTTCCGAATGGATTAGCCCATTTAACTGTTCTTGAATATCTTAGAGGTAAAGGGATTTCTGGGTTTGTTCTGTTTTGGTTCTTCTTATGCTTGGTTAGAGTAATTTGCTTCATCAATGGCTTTTTGTGTATCATTTATGAGTAATCCTGTACTATGAACCCACCAAGTTTGTCGATCAGCTTGCTCTCTGTTTTGAATTTTATGGATCGTGGAATTTAGTTTAAGATCAAGTAGGCTGTAAAGTTCA